CTGTCACTTTTCTACATTTAGCATCTTTGCATACGATTTTTGTGTCATCTGTTTCGATGATCCATTATATTTATTTGCAGACGAGGTGGACGTGACTTCGATCGCCGCGATGACCGACGTGACCGCGATAGAGAACGAGATCGCGAGCGCGATCGCGAAAGAGACCGCGAACGCGAGCGGGAACGTAAAGAAAGGGAGGAACGAGATAAGGAGAAACGTTTGGAAGAGAAGATGGAGAAGAGAAGAAAAGAGGCTGAAGGAGGAGGGTAAGTTTTCCAGCTATGGTTGTTGTGAAGCGTTTTTACCGTAATCATTGTCAGCTATGATGAGTGCTATCCTGGCGGCATGGCTGAAATGGGAGGAACTTGGGATTCTGATGAGGAAGACTTGACAATGATGGACATGGGTTCAAAGAAATCAACGATCAAGCGATGGGAATTTGACAATGACGATGACTATGAGAAGTTTCAGGTTTGGGTTTTCTTCTAATGCTTGCCGACTTGTTTTAAACTGTTATTTCAAGGGATCACGAGAAGCTATGCCCAAAGCTGCTTATCAGTATGGGGTCAAGACTGGCGATGGCAGAAAGACGAGGAAAAGTGTGGATGTAAACAAGAAAATCGATAAAGAACTAAATCAAATAAACAAATTGATTGAAAAGCGTAAAAGTGGATTGGAAGATGATAGGTCTGTTTCTCTTCTGTCCAACTTTTTTTAGTAATAAAAAGTGTATGAGTGGTCAGTAGTCGTAATTCGCAATTTTGGATTACCATTAATTCAGCTTTGTTTTTTTGTTGTTTTTTTTTTTGGAAAAGTGGAATTGCGTTTATCTATCTGATTTCCAGGGATTACAAGCGTCCGAAGTACTGACAGGAAAGAACTCATCCGCATTGTTTGATACCATTTTTTAATAAATAGCTCTTGGGTTGGATGAAGTTAATATGATCTTTTTTACCAGAATAAAGATGTGTACAGCAACTTTTGCTTAAACAAAGTTTTAGTTTTGGAGTTTCAGTACTTCCACCGCCAAGCAATAAAGCCTGCTCCATTTACTTTCTGACATCCTCTTCGATAAGAATGTAATTTATTTCAACTATGGCAAATATCTGGTAGCTGCTATAATCCAACAAATCTAATTGTAAAGAATATTGTTAACAAATTGTTGTGAGATTTATATGAACAGAGAAAACACGGAAACGCAATGACATTACTACTCCCTAAAAAGGTAGGTATGATTTCATTACGCTCATATTCTTAAATAAGTAAAAACTCGACAAAGTATTTGTAAATGAGAACATAAACCTTCATAGATATAAACAAAGGAAAAAAA